ACCTTACCGGCGAGTGCCAGCTTCAGCAAGTAGGTGTACGTAGCAGGATCGTTGAGATCTTCAGTTAGGTCTACAGCTATTACCGTAGCCCCGTGCTTCGCGGCCACAGAATCAAACTCATGCCTCGTTTTCCCACAGAAAAGATGCAGAACCACTCCTGTGGAACGCTCAACTGCCCTGCGCCTCCTACGATTAAAGGCGCCTGGAGGCCCAGTCCCGTTCGAAATCAAGGACACCGCTTGAGCGGCCGCTCGTGGAAGCTCTGGAAAAAGCTTCTCGCACAACACTTGATGCCACATTTGTGCATCCCTCAACCTGCCTGCCTTCACACTCTCAGCCACTCTAAACATAACGTCCTCCCATAGTGCGGTGTCTGCTTCACGCACCCGTGCAAGCTGATCCTCACCATACCCGTGGATGTTGAATGTTTCGATGCGATCAATCAGGTTTTGGGCCACCGTTTTACACACTCTTGGGCAGCCAGAAACCGTAGACAAGGGAACCGAGTAACCCTCTTCATCAAACAGCTGACATGCCCTCTTGGACCATACTAAGCGGAATCCGATGGCGATGAGCTGTCGGAGCGAAACGATGGGTTCAACCTCTTCACTGGCTAGCAAAACACCCCCAGCACTGAATCCCATCTGAACCTCACCCTGCGCGAGCGAAACCGTCTTCTCTCCAACGGGCTGCTCATCACCCCTACGCACGCGCATGCATGTGGTCGCTCCTGAGTCAATCAACCCTGTTTCATCAAGGGGACCTGGCTTTGGAGGGTATTTCGATCCTAGCTGTACGGCTTTGATCGAGGTTTGGATGGATTCCAGCACAGCATTGGCCTTTGCAATCAGCTCGTCACGAGCCGACTTCTCGGTTTCACTAGCTGCCTTATCCTGGGCCTTCATAGCCTCGTCCCTTGATTTCCCCTTTTGGCTACCCTTCCCTTCAGCTTGCGCCCGTGGGTACGGACAATCTGGCTTTCGGTGCTTTGTGCTACTGCAATTGAAACACCTCTTGTCAGCCGGGGTAAGGGCATCATGCGCAAACGTACAAGACTTCCCGTACTTACACCCATCATCGGTCCTCCAGAGTCGGCATGACTGTTTTCCAGCGTCCGCCTTGGCAGCCCCCTTCGAGCCACCCTTTCCTTCCTTCCCACCTTTTCCCCCTTTTCCTGCCACCTCATCCGCCTTGGCTACCGTCTGTTTTGCTCCACCCTTGTCCGCAGCTTCCGTTAGAATCGCCTCCTCGGCCTCCGCAAGGAGGAGTTCTGAAAACTGCAGAACCGTCTGCTGTGTTGGAGCCTGGTCGAGGAGAGCCTGCGTTCTGAAAGTTTGAACCCTAAAAGCTGCCGTATCAGACAACGTTGGGGTTAGTCTCTCCAGACCCTTAAGCTGAAGGCTGGGGTCTGGAACGATGACCTGGAGCTCACGAGCACGGGCTAACCAACGACGCCATTTCCGAAGTGCCTTAACAGATGCAGAGCTTGTGGTGACGGTATCTGGGCTAACGAGAAACGACAGGAGCTGCTGCTTCTCTGCTGCCCCTCCCGGTTGGTACTTCGCCATAACCTTGAACACAATAGCACATGTGCCCAGCAGCCGAAGGGAGATCAGATCATCTTTCAGCTCGCTACCCAC